ACACACACACACACACACACACGCATGCATGCATGCATTTACATACAGTCAGATTCTCGAAAAAATGCTTTTTAACATTAATCAAATATGCAAAAAACGCAGAAAGTTGCATACAGGTAAATAATATGCAAATTTTCATCTACTACATACATATTTGTGCATCTTATATAAATTTGCATATTTTCCAGTGGCCATGGCATGAACATGCATTTTGCCATATAACTTGCTAGCGACGCCAGACTTAAGAGTGGCTGATTTCTTACTTCATGGTTTTTGCATATTGTGTGTTTTCGTTCGATATTTATGGTCAGTTTATACCATCTGCCCACTTGTCTGCATACAATAGTGGTACTTGTACTCTTTTTAATCAGCACACGATTTCCTGTCGTTTCGCGACCTATGTAACAATACGTGATTCTCCTTACTATGGCAGGCAGTGATGTTTTGTGACTTGAACGGGGTATAATTTCTTGTTAACTGCCAAAAAATCCAGTTCGCTACTATCAGTGGGCAAACAAGCAAGATGAGGAGTGTGAGAGAATTGCAAAAAAAAAGCAAAGAAGTTGGTAGTCTCTCAAGTTAAGTGAAAAATAATCTTTCTTTGAGAGCTTTGTTAGCGAAGCTGGCTGATGTTGACTTGGAAGAAGTTGACAGCTATGTCTGTTTTGGCAAAGAGTCAATACAAGCTACAGTCTCCAGCCAAAACGGGGAACATTGGTAACATGAAATACTGCTGCTAGTCCGAGCAGTGTTGGTATTTTCGGCGTAATCGCAAGGCGATAAATTTCAATGCAATTTTGTGTTTTGGCAATTTGGATGGAAAATATTTGATCTGAGCAAACTGTGATAATCCTGTTTTGCTTATCCCTACGTAAGGCATATACATAGTCCTCCCACGCTTTGGTAAGCTTGGAAATTTATTAATGCTTATTTATAGTGCTGTTAAGGTACCGGTTTGTTGCTCAGATTGTGCAGTGATTGCTATAAACGCTATTCAGATCATTACTGTTCGAACGGATCTTTCGGAAGAGAAGTAAGTCTTGAAATCAATGCAGTCCTTCCAGTAGCCTAATCTGTTGAAAGGATTTTGTTACTGTTACTTCCCAGAGAAAATCTTAGAATGTGCATTCAGAGACTGTTTGAATTGATACTTTTCTAGGCATGCCAGTACAAATTTGCCAATTTGCAAATCCTTAGCGTGGTTTTGATGACTGTTTCACGTTAGCTAATCGTACAACTGGACTAAACCTGAAAAATCTAATGGCCACTTCAGCTGATGGGCATTTTGGCAAGTAGGGTCATTCGATGGTTTCAGTCCGTCACTGAGACAACCAGTCTCTCTACGATTCGTTCATTCGTTTCGATAGTAAACACTGCTACTGACACATGCCAAGAGAGGACTGTCAACTGTTTCGTAGATATCATCACTAACATCTTCAATGCTTCTAAGCAGCACATTGAGAAAGAAGGCCATCAGGGTTACCGATGAGTGGTTGGTATTGGCACGTGCGCCTACTCGGAGTGCTTCCAAGAAAATGAATGCATTTTATAGTTTAGGGACATACTAGGAATGCTACGAATAAGATGCGTAGAGACTGTTTTCGAAATCTTAATCAACATTTGACCGGATGTGATTTCACGCATTCTAAGATCAGATAATGAGCACTTTCTGGCGCATCTTTCATAATTTCAAATATCGATACCTTTAAATATGTTTAAATATATCTTAATGATTTTATAGTTTTTTCTCAAACAATGATTTCTATTTTTTCAGGTAGCACTTCTCATCTGCAGAAAACCTGGAAAGATACTGGCTTGAAGTGGTAACATTGAGAACTCACAGTTTCCATGAATACTCAAAATTTTTGGAAAAAATTACCGAAATTTCATTCGGTAAACAAAAATGCTGTACTGCGCTGCTTGTTGATCATTGCTTTTATCACACTGATAATTAATTTCATGAATCGCAAATTTATTTCAAAGAAAAATGTCGCGCTCCAGGTCGAGGCCCCTGCACCACAACCATTGGGATCGCCCATTCTTCTAGGTGATTCACGGAATGAGCCGATACCCGGCGCAAATTCAAGTTCCGCATTGAGTCAGCCAGCATTACGCTTCAATCGAGTTTCCCAATCAAACTGGTCAGAATCAAGCTCCCGTTCACTTCGAAAGCCCAGGTGGTCACAAGTGAAACCTGGCATGAATGCTGCACAAAGTCAGCCGGGAGAATACTCAACGTGGGATCAGTCGACATTAGACGCAGTTGCAAGCCTCGAGTTAGGACGTCAAAAACCAGATTCCACGTCAAACTGGTCAGCATCAAGCGGTAAAACCGACTATATGACTTCGTCAAAATCATTTCCCTGGATGAGAGAAGATCCAGCACCCGAAACACCAGAATTGTTTCGTTGCTCTCGCGCAGAGGTAGTTTTGTTCACAGTTTTTTTTTTACTTAACCTTTTGTTGGGAGGGCTTACTGCCTCAAAGTTAGTTTCAGAATTTTGGGAAGTTAAGAATTTTTGAAGTCTGAAATTTTAACAAATCTTGTGGGCCACAGCAATTGTAGAAATTTATCCAAATTTCTGGTTTTGAAATACAAGATCAGCGAGAACGGAATTTTTTACGTAAATTTCCGTTCCTGACAAATTTTTCCTCATTTCAGCAAATTTTCCTCATTCTCACACACAGTGCTAATTTCTGCGGTTATGCTTTTACATACTGCTTTCAAATGATTGTTTCTTTTCAGACACTTTTCAGTAACAATGTGAATCAATGGATTATGGTGGATCGAGAATTTTGCATCAAAAAATATCCAGATTTACTATTGCTTATTGTTGCAATTACATCAGTGCATGAAACACATTACCGCAGAACCATTCGACAAACGTGGGGAAAACCAGCGCTCTACAAGAATGTGCGTCGATTTCTGCTTTTGCCAACTTGTATTCCGTATTTATACCTTAACCATCTTTAGTGGCACTGAATGGTGAAAAATAGCAGAGTTGCCATGCAGAAAAGTCGAGAGTTTGGCTCCACCAGCGAGACAAGTCGTCCTTTTACAATTTATTTAATCGCTTCAATGGCAAATGGATATTGTCGCAAGCCAAGCAATGAAATCTGGCGTCAGCCCACTTCTAGACAACCTTCGAAAGAGGAAGATTTCAAAAGCCTCGTGAACGAGTGGTTGCTTTTACCCCTTGTTATCACACGATCTGCTACGAACGCCTTCACCTCTCATAAAAGAGAATTATTATTGAGAAAAGAAATTTTTCAGTGAATCTCTTTTTAGCTGTTCTTTAAAGAAAAATTTTTGTTCAGTTCAAAACAGCAGTGATATTTCCGATCGGCCGCACAAATAACGTCACTCTTCTGAGATCAATTAAAAAAGAGCAGAAGCAATTCGGTGACCTGATACAGCAAAATTTCATGGATACATATCAAAATCTGACGTACAAGGTTGCTATAATTTATGTCATAACCTTTAATCACTTCATTTCGGAAAAAGATTACTGTTGGATTTGACAAAAATCAAAGGATTTTGAGAGTTTCACTGCAACTAGCCCTAGCCCGAGCCGGCCAGGGCCAGTTTTCCTTGTACCCTGCCTCATATGGGTCCTGCAAAATCTCTCAGTTACTACTGCAAGTTACTATTATGCTTTTTAGACACGCCACAGATTACACTTTTACAGACACTCGAATGGTTGCAATTTGTCGACGAATTCTGTCCCACTGCTCAATTCGTCCTGAAAATTGACACGGACATGACTTTCAATTATTTCAAACTTGTCTGGTTACTTCAAAAACGCTCACAACCGAACACTCAACAACCGTTTGCGCCAATGACATTTGCTTGCGCAGTGATATACGACGCTGTCGTGTTCAGGAATTCTACCAAATGGTTGGTAAAACCACTAAACCAAAGCGAGCGTTTGTCAAAGTGTTTCAGAAATTTTAAAGATGCAAACAATGAATATCTCAGGCTAGGAGATTAGATGAGAACGGGAGCCCGAAATCTTCTATGTGTTAACATAAGCAGTTTGTTTGGCTCTGCTGGCCCACCGTGGAGAGGAAGACAATCGAATTTTGATAATTAATGAAAACAGTGGAAGTGCAATTTAGATCTCCCGAATATATAAGCCAGTATGTGCAGTGATCTGGCAAACTGTCTGCGTTTCTTCCTTGAGCTGTAAACACAGGTGGCAGAATCGGTGCGAAATGAGGTGGGAATCGTCAGTACAGTGCCTCATTTCGCCATGTTAAAAGTTTTTTTGGCATCCAACGAACCGGAATGATCAACTCACCTCTTCAGTATCACGACTTTGAAGGGACGATACTTGGCCACTGATCAGCGCAAAAGCATAAACGCCAGTTGTAAGAAAACAAGAGATACCTTTTATACTACTTCTTTCAAATACAGCTCATAGCGTTGTTCTTGAGCTGAGCAACTACTCAGCTGTATTGCTCGGCGGTCAGTGCCCTAGCAATTTCGGTATTCATTTTGTAGCCTGAAAGGATTACCTCCCTAGCGATTCTCCAACAGAAGTATGTCGGTAAAGCTTCGACCGTTTCGAGATGTTCTTGGTGTGTATTGAGTATCACCACCTTATCTTGATCGTTGCCACTCCCAGATAGTTTATGTGTTGTCAAAATACATAAACTATCTATACGATGAAATACCCATAACCACATGCTAGCGTTTTGAAGAGTTGATGAAATTTTTAATTTTTTTTTGGTTTAACATGACTCTTCGAAGTTTTCGATTTTCACAATATTTAGGCCAGTATCAGAAGAGGAATATTCCAGTGATCATTATCCATCATACTGCAGTGGGATGTATTATGTGTTTACAACAGATCTGGTGAGACCACTGCTGCAGCAAGCTCCATTTTGTACATTCTTCTGGGTACTGTTCAGTCTTCAAGTATAGTCAATTCATTCACGAAAACAAAGAACAAAAATACTTTATTTTTCTTTAAAACATTTTTTTTTGCGTAAATAACTTCACGATTCGCATAAACGTAAAGTTACGCATAACCGATTTCAACCAATTTCTCTACTGTTCATTCGTTTCGATGGCAAATTGGTACTGTCCTGAGCCAGGGAGTCAGATCCACTACCAGCTTGCTTGTGAGCAACCCAGAAAAGAAGATCTACAGTCTTGCCAATAGGCGATGCCTACTGTCAGCATTTGCTTCTGTCCTTCAAAAAAAGCGAATGCGGAGAGGGTTTTAGCTTCTGGAATGCGGATCTTGCTACGCATCTACCAAGTGCTGTAAAAAGCCCTGTATCTTCTGGATGGCAATGGCTTGTAAAAGTAAACAACTGAAATTGCTGTAGCACCTTGCTGGGACCATAGTAGGGTATGAAATTTATCGATTTTCGGCGAGTATAGCGCTCACGGAAATTTTTAGTTTTCTGAAATCATCCAGGAAATCATATTAATAATCGGTGTTTCAGATCGAAGATGTACACGTGACCGGTCATTTGGGAGCAATGGTCGGTGCAAATTATGAAGACTGGACCATGAACACCACATATGACTTGCAAAAATTACCGAGCTTGGTTAAAAAGCCCGAAATAATATTTGGCATGATCTCATCGTCAAGGGAACATGATCAGTTGTGGAAAATAATGCTTTATACCTATGAACCGCTGATTTAAGCTGACATGTCTGGTGATGGGGACGAATACCCAAGTAGACTTTGCTTGTTTGAGTAGTAAATTTTTACTAAAATTGCCATAATTATTATTTCCAAAGTTCCTCCACATTTCACAGAGAGCGAATACGAACCGGAGATTGAATCCAAGTTTGACTTTTTGGCACCACTTTTCCCCCATCATTTGTTGTTGGCTGAAGCAGCAGTTAACTTTCCTGATAAGATGACAGGTGATTTCCTGGATTTTTTTTCTGGTGAGAATGCAAAACACAAATTTACTAGCTTTCACTCATCATCTGGTTTCTTGCTTAGCATCATGAACCTCACTTTTCAGCTCAGTCTAATCAGTGGAATTCGTGCCCTCAAAACAACGTTGGATGGAGACAGTGTCAGATGTTTCAACGGATGAAGGAAAACGAAGATGAAAAAAATACAAGCGATCAAATGATGCATTTGTAGAGCATAGCAAATTCAAATGTTAAGTAAACGTACTGTGTTAAGTAATTAGGTTAATTAATTGAGTAAATATACCTTGTACAATGCTAAGTAATTTGAGTATAATTTGTTACTGCTCAGAGTTATTGTTATTGCTTAAAGTGTTTTAGTTAAAAAAGTGTTTAAAGCATTTTTTAGTTCACAGTGAGTAATATAACCTTCAATCTGGCATATCAAACTGTTGTATGAAAGAAAACTAAAACACTGGTGTATGGCACTATGCAACAAGCAATTCCTAGCTCAAGTCTTTCCACCGAACCCAAACTGCACAAATATCACTAAGAATAGAGAGGAAGTTAAAAGAATGAATTTTGCTTTCGTAGCAATGACAAAGAACGGCAGTTAAACCCATCGAAGGTTTCGTAGCCGAAAATTGAAGGCGATGACCAAGTCCAACCCCGCTCAGTTACACTGTTCGGCCTATCTGATGATAGTCACCGGCAAACTCAGTTCGATGACAGAAGACAGCGTCGAAATGTATGGCTCGCTCATTGGCCAAGAATATTTGGCCCTTGTTAAGGAGGAACAAAATTTAAACAATATTTACTGGACATGCAGTTCTTAAAGAAGCGTCAACGCTAACAGCAAAGGTGCAAAATTTCATCCGATTTTCCCCACTCCGAGCTTTAAATCTTAATACCGTAGCAACTCTAATAAAAAGGCATCGAAATATAGTCATTGCTTATCTCAAGATTTGAATGTTGTCTTTGGCCTCAAAAATCCAAAGCGCATATTCCTAATCCCATCTAAATAGTCAATGCCCATGTGCTGAAGACAGCAATGATGCACAAATTTGAAAAGTGCCCACTAGCGAAAGCAGAAAAGCGAACACTGACTGTGACTTAAACAGCATTGAAGCACTAAAATCTTCAAGGAAAAATTGCTCGTAGAATTTCAACTTTGGAGCTTCAGCCTCTTCCCAATATGCGCTTTTGCAATTTACATATATGCTAAAACGCATAAAAACAAAAACACAGAAACTGCAGGCTAGCATGTAATATTTGTATTTGTTGCCTACCTGCGCATACCGTATAAATTTGCATATTGCCCATTGTCGATAGTCCTAACTCAGTTTGCATAATTGTTGACGACGCCGAGCTCACGAGCGGCTGTGTTTCTTATTTCACGGCTTTAATTCCTGCACATCAAGGTTCCACAAACACATTGCGTTTTAGGCCGCGTTTTATGACTTTTTTAATGTGGAAAAAGTTGATGGTTATGCTTATCATGAAGTGATTAGTGGATCCATAAACCGTTATTATCCATTTTATATATATATATATATATATATATATGTATATATGTGCATCTATAGATATATTTAAATATATATGCACATGTACACATGTGAATATACCTACATATATATGTATAGATGTTTATGACAACACATATAAACCCAGGCTGGAACGCACCGGGCGTGCCCGTGCGATCATGTGTTTTTGCACCAGACTTGAAGTACTCAGGTCATTAACTATATGAGTGGCTTCTGCTTTACACCTATCTTTTGCGGCCGTTAGCATAAACCACCATAAATTCTGCAAAGTAAATGTACAATTTCCAATTAACAGTCGTTTTTTAAAAGTAACCTAGTTGTTCAGTGAGAAATTTTTTCCCCAAGGCTTTGAAGTGACCGTATGTAAGAACCACGCATATCTCAAGCTGAATTTGAAATACTTAAGTTGTACTTGAACAGGGAATATCCCCTTCAAATTTCAACCTTCCAGCTCTTCTGGCTGTCGAATTAATAATTTTCATTCAGAAACTTCCAAGCGCTCTTAAGTGAGTACCACCCATTGTTTGGGACTAAACTAGGAACAGTTGAGTTGTACTTGGACAGGGAACATTCCCCCAAAATTTCAGCCTTCTAGCTTTGTTGGTACCCGAGTTAGCAATTTTCTCCCTAAAACATTCATACGCCCTTACTTGAGTACCATACATACCAGGGGGCTGAATTTGAAATATTTGAGTAGCGCTTGGATAGGAAATGCTCCCCCAAAATTTCAGCTTCCTAGTTTCCCTGGTACCTAAGTTAGCAATTTTCCCTCTAAAACTTTCATACGCTTTTATGTGAGTGCCGCGCACACCTGGGAGCTGAATTTGAAATCTTTAGCTAGTATATGCACAGGGAATATCTCTACAAAGTTTCAGCCCCATAGCTTGCGTTGTTCCCGAGATAGCTTTCCCGCCAAAAAAACTAGCATATTTTTTTAAAGCGTCCGTACGAGGCACCCAGGCTTCCACGGGGGATGAAATTAAAACGGGAGGGCCGCGCATGGCATAGACATATGTCCTCAAAGTTTCAGCCTTCTGCTTTTTTGGTTCTCGAGTTGAAAGTGGGTGACAAAAAGTGCGAATACACAGACACACACAGACACACAGACACACACACACACAGACAACCTCTTCCCAATACGCGTTTTTGCAATTTACGTATATGCAAAAACGCATAATAAACATACATATATCGTTACTAATATCCTTGTTGCTTCCAAGCAAAACTTCAGAAGGGCCATCGTAGCATTGTTACCGACAGGTGACTTCTGTTGATATGTGCTGCCACTCGGGCTACTTTCCAGCTCCTCCGTCTTTGAAAGAGAGAGCAGAGGAGAATGCGGAAGACGGTTACAAGGAATGTCATTTGACTAAATATGATTTCGCGCATAATAATATCAAAAACAGAGAGTATTTTTATCCAGTATGGCATATCTTTTTGTAATTTCAGCTGTAGGAACTACTAATAGCTTAAAACATATTGTCAAAATTTTCATAATTTTATAGTCTTCTTTTCGAATAATGATTTATATTTTTTCAGTTGGCACTATTCATCTGCAGAAAATCTCGAAAGGATATCATGTCCATAGATAGTAACAATTTTTGGAAAAAATTACCTGCATTTAAATCGTGGAATAAAGCTGCATTAAACTGCCTGCTGATTGTGGTTGTTATCGTGCTGATAATTATTTTAAAAAATTACGGATTACCTCCAATTTCTTCGGATTCTGCATGGCAACTGCTAAAATCATTCCCTCTTAGTGACGCTTTTTGGAATCAGTCTACGCTTGACACTAATTCAGTACCTGAACTGAGTCAACCAGCATCACGCCATTATCACATTTTTCGACCAATCTGGTCAAGATTAGCCTTTGTTTCACAACCACCGTCCAATTGGTCAAAAATGAGCTCTAGCATGTCTGCCGAACAAAGTCAATCGACAGCAACCACAGTAATGACAGCAACAAATCAACCAACAGTAACAACAAATCAGTCAGCGTCAAGCTCAGATGCAAGCATCGAGTCGGAGTGGGGAAATCTAACTTCCACTTCTAGTATTTCTACTGAGCAAGCTACTTCAAAATCACTTCCCTGGATGCGAGAAGAACCAGTACCCGGAGCGCCGAAATTCTTTCGCTGCTCTCGCAAAGAGGTAATTTCTGTCTTCGATTTTTTACTTCCTTCTGTGCTAGGAGCACTATAGACTTCGAAAACCCAGATCCAAAATTTTGGGAAGTTGGAAATTTAGAAAGTCCCAGTAGATTTTCTCATT